ATCAAATTTCCAAATTCTCAAATTTCCAAATTCTCAAATTTCCAATTTCTCAAATTTCGAAATTCTCAAATTCCCAAATTATCAAATTTCCAAATTCTCAAAGTTCCAACTTCTCAAATTTCCAACTTCTCAAATTTCCAAATTCTCAAATTTCCAACTTTTCAAATTTCCAACTTCTCAAATTTCCAAATTATCAAATTTCCAAATTCTCAAATTTCCAACTTCTCAAATTTCCAACTTCTCAAATTTCCAACTTCTCAAATTTCCAACTTCTCAAATTTCCAACTTCTCAAATTTCCAACTTCTCAAATTTCCAACTTCTCAAATTTCCAACTTCTCAAATTTCCAAATTCTCAAATTTCCAACTTTTCAAATTTCCAACTTCTCGAATTTCTAAATTATCAAATTTCCAAATTCTCAAATTTCCAATTTCTCAAATTCCCAGATCCTCAAATCCCCAAATCCCCAAATCCCCAAATCTCCAAATCCCTAAATTCCCAAATCCCCAAATCCCCAAATCCCCAAATCCCCAAATCCCCAAATCCCCAAATCCCCAAATCCCCAAATCCCCAAATCCCCAAATCCCCAAATCCCCAAATCCCCAAATCCCCAAATCCCTAAATTCCCAAATCCCAAAATCTCCAAATCCCCAAATTTCCAAACACCCTATATTCCTAATTTCCCAAAGATGTAAGTTCTGTATACAAATGAAAATCTGGATACCGTATGTATCTAACCACTTCTCAACATTACCTGCATACACCACTTAACTAAGAATCAATAGTACAAATTAGTTTCAACCAGATCCAATCTCGAAGCAATCAGATCAGGTGTTCCGTTCTGATCACTTGAATTCGATTCTGTAAATTGATGTAATATTTTTATTGAATTATTATGTGCTTTCTTATCGTTTTTTTTCTAACTGTATATTTTTTATTGTTCATAATATTTAGATCAGTTAATAAACCACGAAGTTAATTTGTATATTTTCTTATAATAAGATTATTCAATTTCTTTGGTATTTTCGATAATTCGCAAAAGAATTTTTCATCAACTTTTTGACCAATTATAAATGCATACAAATTCACTAATAAAAGCCTGTTTATGAAAAAATTAGTAAATTTGTTGACAAAATTTTTAATAATGTCTAAAAAGAATCTATTAATAAAGATAAGTTAAGGAATAAATTAATAAATTCTTTGACAAACTTTCCACAATACCTAAAAGAATCCATTAGTGAAATTTGTAGGTTAGGTTTGAATTTCTCAAAAACTAAAAATGGTGGCTGAAGGTAAATATAGTAGTAGAGATAAACGCCTAATAATTCATAATCAATAAATAAAAATTTGTAAGAATTATTTATTAAATATTATAACACAAGATACATAGAATATAATTTTCAAAATGTTTTACAATTTTCTTTCCCAAGACTACATCGAATAACACACTACATCAAAGTGTTTTCTCTGCATAAATTTAACCTTAATACCATTAAAAAATAACAACACAGAAAACAGAAGAAAACACGACCAGTCGATTACAATATCAGCTAATAATTACCTCTGAAAACATTTGTATCAACATAATAACCCTAACTAACTCGTAAACGAACGTTGAATTATATGCGTGTACATATCCAGCATAAATTTGACGATGTTATAATGAAATGTAATTTTGGGCCGCCATTACCTATACTATATAAACAAAACCCTATCGTCCATTACATTAATGAATACGCAATCGATAGATAATGTATATCCATAATTAACTTTAACTAACTCAATTTCAAACTTGGTTCGTCTCGCGGAAGACTCATTCAATTATCGGCAAGCCATAAACTCGTGGACGGTGCACGATGTGTACGCTCTTCCATAAATGTAATAATTGCAATAAAATTGGTACAATTATTTGTGTGACAGCCGCAATGACATCGTGAGGAAAATAAAGTGGATGTACTATTTGTATTTCGTGAAACTTTATATGCGAAAGATTTATTTCTGATATTCAGTAAAAAATAAAAGTAGGTTTGAATAATATAGTCGGAAGTAGGATAAAAATTTAAAATTCTATACTGGTAGCAAAATTTACTTTTTAAAGAAAATAATAATTAGAGTAATTGGAGTCAATGATCAAATTTTGCATTTTACTGATTTCCTCAATTTTAATAAAAAAATACTGAACTGGTATATAGAATATAAGGGACTGTCAATAAAAATACTGACACGGACTGACAATAAATAAAGTTCTGCTATTTAAAAAATTTATTCAAAGAAGACTTGTACGAATAATTTTATAATTTTGAAAAAAAATATTTCTAAACTTTTACATGTAATAATAATGCAAAAATAACAGTAAATAAATTTCTGCTATTTAAAAAATTTATTCAAAGAAGACTTGTACGAATAATTTTATAATTTTGAAAGAAAATATTTCTGAACTGTTACATGTAATGATAATACAAAACTAACAGTAAATAAATTTTTGCTATTTAAAAAATTTACCCAAAGAAGACTTGTATGAATAATTTTATAATTTTGAAAGAAAATATTTCTGAACTTTTACATGTAATAATAATACAAAAATAACAGTAAATAAATTTTTGCTATTTAAAAAATTTATTCAAAGCAGACTTGTACGAATAATTTTATAATTTTGTAATAATTAAAATTAATAAATAATAAATAATTTTATATGTAATAATAATAAAACCTAACAATAGTTATAATCTTAAAAGTAGTATACTACAAAATGATCATAATTTATAAAAATTCTCTATAATATTATTTTCACATTATTCCATAATAAAGGGGTCCATAATAATGGAATTTCCAATGGAGTGTCAGTCATCGAAAACCTCACAAACAGTAAAACCAGAAGAAATAAAACCCAGTAAGAAAACTGGTAATTCTAAGTTTCTTCTCAAGTATCACCACAGCCCTCTTTGAGGATAAAAAAAAACGACGTAATGATCCTTTACTTTATCCCAGGGGATCGTAGCGGTATCCCACCGTGCGATTCACCCTAGTAGAGCTAGAAAAAACTTTTTAAGGACTACCACCATTCCCCTACGATGGCTCTCTCGTTCCGTGACCTGTTTTACTGAGTGAGAATTTTAGGAATTTTTGCTCTAACTCTTCGTCGGAGCTTGACTCACTATTGTTCTATCTCTTTCTTTTGGTAGACGAACTCTTGCGTAGGATCAACAGCTGCTCGTGATCAAAATTCTTAGCTCGTCATCCGTGGAGTAACGTAAACATGGGATGTACATATAACGAATCGGTGAACGTGTGAATCGTGGCATAAAAATCGGGGAATAAGGGTTGATTCGGAAAGTGCTGGAGGGTATCAATGTAGGGTAGGCTGCATTACAATTTATCATTGTACAAATAAAACATGGACCAAGTGTGTATGATTTGGAGATTTTGAATATTCTGAAATTTCTCAGATTTCACAATTCAAAGTTTCTAAATTTTTCAAATTTCTAAATTGCCGAGTTTCCAACCAGATATCTGAACTTTCAAGGTTTGAAATTCTATAGTTCTCAGTTTGCAAAATTTTAGGAAGATTTGCAGAATTCTTAAAACCACAAATTCTCAAAATTCCCAAGCTGTAAATTTATAGATTCTTTAAATTTTCAAATTTTCAATATTCCCAAATTCTCAAATTTCTAAATTCTCAAATTTCCAAATTCTCAAATTCCCAAATTCTCAAATTTCTAAATTCTCAAATTGCCAAATTCTCAAATTGCCAAATTCTCAAATTTCCAAATTCTCAAATTTCAATTCTCAAATTCCCAAATTCTCAAATTCCCAAATTCTCAAATTCCCAAATTCTCAAATTCCCAAATTCTCAAATTCCCAAATTCTCAAATTCCCAAATTCTCAAATTCCCAAATTCTCAACTTCCCAAATTCTCAAATTGCCAAATTCTCAAATTCCCAAATTCTCAAATTCCCAAATTCTCAAATTTCCAAATTCTTAAATTTCCAAACTCTCAAATTTCTAAATTCTCGATTTCCCAAATTCTCAAATTTCTTAATTCTCAAATTGCCAAATTCTCGAATTCCCAAATTCTCGAAT